TTCTTGTACTATGTTGAATAAAAGTGGTGAGAGAACATCCTTGTCTTGTTCCTGATCTTAGAGGAAAGGCTTTTAGCTTTTCACCATTGAGTATGACGTCAGCTGTGGGCTTGTCATATACGGCTGTTACTATGTTGTGGTATGTTCCTTCTATATGATGAGAGTTTATCATGAGAGGATGCTGAACTTTGTTGAATGTTTTTTCTGCATCTACTGAAATGGCCATGTGATTTTTATGCTTCTTGTCATTACCGTGGTGTATCACACTTATTGATTTGTGGATGTTGACTCATCCTTGTATTTCAGGAATAAATCCCACTTGATCTTGGTGTATGATCCTTTTAATAAATGTGCTGTTGAATTCGGTTTGCTAATATTTTGTTGAGGATTTTTGCCTCTATGTTCATCAGGGATATTGGCCTATAGTCTTCTTTCCTTGTAATGTCCTTGTCTGCCTCTGATGTCAGGGTAATTCTGGCCTTGGAAAATGAATTTGAAAGTGTTACCTCTGCTTCTATTTTTTTAAAGATTTTATTTATTTACTTGAGAGAGAGAGAGCGAGAGAAAGAGAGAGCACACATACACACGAACAGGGGGAGGGGGAGGGGCAGAAGGAGAAGCAGATTCCCTGCTGAGCAGGAAGGCCGATGTGGGGCTCGATCCCAGGACCTGGAGATCATGACCTGAGCTGAAGGCCGATGCTTAACCAACTGAGCCACCCAGGCGCCCTAGAGTGTCATCTTTAAGAAAGGTGATGTTGCCCAAGAATGGGGTAGGTGGCTGTCTGCCTGGAAGGTATTGGAGCAAACTTTTCCTTTGTGCCAGAAAGGCAGGCTTGGTAGCCTTGCAACCTGAGGCTGCCTTGTTTGCTCTTCCGATTTCTCATCAACTACAGGGGGCATGTTTTCCTAACTGGCCCCGCCTGACCCAACAAAGAGCTTTGAGTGTGTGTGTGCTTAATGGAAAGTTGACCCATTGTTGTCTGTCTTACCCTTTCTGGCTAAATTAGAAAACAGAGGCTTAGTGTATCAGCCCTGGGCATTAAAGCCAGTTTGGGGTGCTGGGGAGACAAAACCAAGTGTTGGGGAAGGATCAGCCAGTGTTCCCCTTGATAACTGCTGGTGTTTTTTGTTGTTGTTGTTTTGTTTTTAAACTTTTTTTTTTTTTGAAGATTTTATTTATTTATTTATTTGAGAGAAAGAGAGTGAGAGAGAGAGCGCACGAGGGGGTTGGGGTTAGAGGGAGAACCAGACTCCCCGCCGAGCAGGGAGCCCGATGTGGGACTCGATCCCGGGACTCCGGGATCATGACCCGAGCCGAAGGCAGTCGCTTAACCAACTGAGCCACCCAGGCGCCCTGTTTTGTTTTTAATAAATAACATAAGTATGAGTTACACAGTAGCACTTCTCTGACCCTTTGGAGCCCACGCAGTTTCCTAAAGACCAGGATATTTTGTTATCCACAGATTCTGGAAAAACTCCCCTCGCCCCCTCTCCAACTCCCAGCAAAGTCCTCAGCTCAGACAGATCTTTCTGCCGGCCTCTAATTCTTGCCAAGTTAAGCGGAGGGCCTTGGAAACACAAGAACTCCTTAAATGAAAATTACATTTGAATGCTTAGAGGAAGATCAAAGTCATCTTTAAAATGTGCATGCCTTCAGCACTTTCTGAAGGCATGTCCAGAAGATGAAGCACCCTTGCAGTGATGGAGTGGTGCCTTTTCTCCTGCAACTGCCCTCCTGGGACCAACCACTCAATTCATTTCTTTTTTTTTTTTTTTT